AGATCGCCAAGCCAAGGAGCGCCAAAGATTGCCAGCAAACCACTGGAATCTGGAAGAGAGAGATGGAATAAATTCTCTCTCACAGCATCAGAAGGAACCAGCCCCACCATCACCTTGATCTTGGACTTCTGGCCATGTTTAAGCTCCCCAGGCTATAATCCTTCGTCACAGCAGCCCATAGGAAACTGATCCAGGGGGCCATGGTGGTAAGCTGCCCACATCCTTTGGGGAATACGCATTGGCTGTGGGTTCCCAGCATCCCCTGTGGTACCCCAGGTGGGTCTCCATTCCATTTCTTCCACCCGTTTTGAAAGCTTCCTAATGGTGATGCCAGGTCCAGGGAGCCTAGGACCTTAAGGGACATTTTGTGACAGGGCATACTTGTAGTCCCTAAGACGAAGTTTAGTGGTTTGAGCAAAGCACCTCTCTGTTCTCAGATTCCTTTCTCCAAGATAAGCTAGTCAGATAAAACCAGGTGTCTGTTCTCAGCAATAAACACAATGATTCCTGTAGCCCTGGGAAAGGTAGCTTGACTTCCCATAAATCCCTTCATTTATTCTGTTAGAGAACCAGCCTCTATTAAACATAGTTAAACCACATTTGAATATTAGTTATGTGTGTCAAGTTTTTTTTTTTTTTACCGTATGTAATTAATGAGTTGTCAGCACAGTGTATTGGAAAATTATGGCTGTAGAAACCAGAAGATCTGAACTTAAATCTTGATTTCAGAATAATGATCAGATTAAAACGCAAAATAAAATCATCGACTCCTCTCTGTAAATTATGGTCTAGGCTAATTGTTTTTCTTATACCTCAAGAGAAAAATTATGTTCAGTTCCAATGAGTCTGAAGTAACCCCCGCATGTGTATAAAAATGCAATATCGAGATTTCTCAGATTTTTCCTTCTCTCAATTCTACGTGTACTTTTTTTCCTAATAGTATTTTTTTTCCCTTAAAGAATAAATCAGCTTCTAATCATCCAGTGAGAGTCTCATGACTTTTCTTGGAAGGAGGTCGTATCACTGTGGTATTGGGGAGTTATGATATGTGCCTCTGAACATCACATCTTTGCCTACAGCTAAAGCTTGTCCTGGGGTCACACTGGGTGTTAGGCTGTGGTCTAAAGCCTTTGCAGAAGAATCTCAAGAGGTAGGAATTCAATAAGCCAGTGTATGTCTGGTTCAACATAAGGACACTCACAAAATCATGTTGTCTGTGTCCCGTTCTCATAGGCATACACAAGGAACTTGGTACAGAAGCCGTCCCTATATTCATGATTTGTGAACAATACTACGCTTTGTTGGTGAATAATTTTCCCTGGGGAGTGCTTACCATAGCAGCTGGTAGCTTTCTGGGTCGTTTTTCAGGCTTACCTCCAGCCAGAGAGCAGGCGTGGTGCAAATTTTATGCATTGCCCTAGACTTCCGTTTGCAATAAGGAACACACGCAATGACATACCAAAGTGAGTTTATTGACATTCCTTTGAAGGTGGTGATGGGAGAGAAAGCTTGGCCTGAGTATTAACGTGACATTTCTCTTGTCGATGTAAGCAAAATCAGCCCAGTAAACAAGGACTTCTCCTGCCGTTGACTAGAACAAAGACTTTGAACAAAATCATTATAGACATTTCCTTAGAGAAACTGGAAGCTGCAGGAAGTAGGCTAATGGAACAATATTTACTCTAAATACTACTTCTAGGCACCTTTTTTTTTTTCTACTAGAACAAAGGGACTACATATTACTAACAGGAAAATAACACTTTCTCTTTTGGACCTTATGATGGCTGGAACATCCATCCCAGACTTTTATGATACAGTATTGCAGTAGTTGTAATGATGGACACTGAAGGACGTAATCATAATTAATAATAATCATAAAGCACCACATTTGTTATGTAAAGTTCTAACGACTTTCATTGGAAAGTGTTTCATCTTGACTGGGAAAACATTTGTGGCAAAGGAGAAATTTTCCGAACCCAAATTTGGGACACGCGGTTTGACACATGGATGGATGGTGTCCCAGACGTCACTTAGAACTGCCCTGGGAAGCCCGTGGGCTCGCCATACAAATGCACTCACTGTTAAAGGACATGTGGTCATGTGTGAGAAGAGAAAAAGACTGAGATTCTGCAAATTTAAAGCTCTCTAAGTGACTGCCCTCCATTCATGATGGTAGGGTAGTAAAACTTGTCATAACCATGGTCAACTTAGAGACACACAGGGAATTACAAAGAACTCTACAGCTTTATAATACTTCTCCTGATTCTGCAGGATCAACATCTGATTTTAGATTAGCATCTTTATCTGATAGAATAAAAGGTGATATCCATGAAATTATTATTATAATACTCTCTATATAGCATTTTTTGAGGCATTTTTTCCAATTGAAACGTGTTTTCTCTTATTTCTTATTCTTCTTTGTCCCACAATTAAAGACAATACATTGACTAAAAATAGCTCTAAAAGAGCTGGTTTTAGGGAAATCGTGGTTTATAAGTGATTAGTTTTCTAATATGCCTCCATGGAGAAAACTAATATTTTCAAACAATATTTTAAAAAGAAATTACACGTGGTAACAGATACATCTACCTTGCCTGTTATGAGTGATATGATTTGGGGTGGATTGCACCTGTTGAAATTAATAGCATGATTGAATTCTACAGCTGTTTTATCTGTCTAATAAAAATTATACATAATTTGAAAATCAGCCTCATATATGACAGAATATTTACTAAAGAAGCATCATCTGAGACACAGAGAAATAAAAAAGACCCTTCTTTAACAACTGTCTGTACCCCCCTTCTCTTTGCTTTTCTTCCGGAAGGATTCTGTGGAAAGCTGTAATGGAAACTGGGCTTTGAGTTTTGGCTGACTCTGACACTAGTACTTCTTCCTGGAATTTTATGCTTTTATAAAACACTGTTCCTGTCATGCTTTGCAGGCTACATCTGAACCATGGCACTGGGAGGGGGCAGTAAGAACCAGGAAACGTTAGCTGAAAACCATATTTGACCCTGTTATTGTATGTAACGTCTAGGGTACCTTGTTTCTTCTGTGTAGGGCTAGACTAGACATTGATTAATCTAATTCATAGATTATTTAGATATTTGTGTAAATTATGAAGCTCCCAGGAGCAGGTTCCATCTTTTGAACAGCTTTCTCCCTTGCTGATACCTAAAAAATAATATAAATACTGAAAAAATAAAAAGAGAACTGAATGCTTGAATGAATGTGTTTACATCTATATGACACCAAGTTCTAAAAATGAAAGATGCTCCCCTCTACTAGAGATGCTGTTCAAAGAATTAGGATGGTGAAACAATTTGCATCGTCTTTATGTTCTGATTTCATCAGTAATAGTTCCGCTGGGATCCATAACTTCCCAGGTGCCGAACCACGTCCTGAATTTTGCACATCCCTCAAATCCGGTATTGTGCAACTGACACATCCCACCCTATCTCGGTCAATACTGTTTTTAGACAGCGACAGAAGGCCAGATTTCTGCGTCATATATATTCTCCTGATTCACAACAGACACACAGCAGCAGGGAAAGCTGGGCATTATCAGTAATTCTCACGAAAGGAATGTTTCCTTGTGGAGCGCAGCGAGCACAGTTTATGCCTCGTCTGGACACAAACCAAAATGAGGACGAGACATGGCTCCGGATGGCATTCAGCCAGTCCTGCATTTCTCACATTTCTTCCTTGTTTAATATATCGAAGGACAACAATGTGACATTTCAACATGTCTTTTTCCCAGTGAAGAAAAACACTTTCGTTTATGACATATTTCAGACCACATGGATAACAAGATTAGAAAAAATACCAAAAGACCATTATGTTTGGGTTTCTTCCAAATGTAATAGAGAGGTTAGGCTGTCTTCGGAGCCTGCTACTGTTGTTCTGAAAACACTCAGTTTTCAGAGACATCTCTTCACTGGATGCTAAGAGAAACTGGGTATCTATTTTGACACAGATCAGTGTGCCCTGGGGGGTTTGGTCTCTGCCCCAGGAGAATTGCTATGGAGGAAGGAGAAGTAACATTTTGCCCTTGACCCCTAATGAGCACCATCACTCTCTGCAGCTTCTTGTTTAGTGTGGTCAGACGCGAAGGGATCTGAACACTATGATAAAGGAAAAAAAAAAAGAAAACATGAAAAAAATCAATATCAAAGTTGAAATAAAAAGTCTGTTTGCCGAACAATGAATTACGTGGCTTTCACGAAAGTCAGCAGATCATCTGTACATTTTTTTTTCTTCCCTTTGGGAAGAACTGTGGCTAGATCAAGCAGAGCAGAACAAAACAGTACACAGCTCAGACATTGAAACCAACCGGATATGTCCTAAGGTCCTTTTCCCCTTTTCTCCTGTTTGCTTCATCACATTCTATACAACACAAGCAGGGATAGAAGCCCCACCACTTATGCTGCATAATGACATCTCCGCCTTGGACTTGTGCACAAGTTTGTGCTCCTTGGGTGGGGAGTGTTCACGAGGGGCGTGCCCCTCGCCCCACCCCACCCCCAATCAGACTTCTCTGAACTCAAGCTGAGCCGCAATCCTCACAACCACTGGGATGCGCTGCGTTGCATCAGCAGCAGGTGTTTTCCTTGCCGTTATAATTTGTCGGAAAGTGTCCTATTTGCACCACGGGTCTAGGTTAGTTCCAGCTGATGGACTGATGCCACCTCTGACTCATGGATGTATAAAAATCTCGGTTTTGCCACTGCTGTTTTTGAATGGATAGGATGCCCAGGGAAAAGGAAGAGTGGGAGGAAAAGAAAGAGTCGACCGGTTGGTGGTTAGAAATGATAACAAAAAAATGGTGGCTCCTGCTCAGAAGACAAGGGCGTGGAAAAGCTTGGAATGCTTAATGCTCAAATTTTCCCTTAAATTATACAAATGGAAGTAAACATTTATTACCATTTGGTCAAGTGTCACATAACTTGCATTCAGATTTCATTGTTAGTAATGGAGGTATGTGGAGATTTACACAGACCTTGAGACAGCTTTTTTTTTTAATATTGCATTACAGGCTAGCAGTTCACTGGAAATAGAGGAGATAAGCCTGAAGGTGAGATCTTAGAAGGCAGTTCCTCATGCACAGCTCGTCAGTCCTGACTTGGTCGGAAAACAAAATCATAGAATACCCAAATCAAAGGAGAGTTGATTCCAGGAAGGGTAAAAGGTGATGTCACTGGCCAGGAAAATGGCAGGTAAGTTTCAGTTCCTCATTCCAGTCCAAAGGTGCTGGTTTCCTCGACTGCTGTTAATAGCTTTTCGTACAACATGGAGTATGAGGGATAAGGTGGAAGATCCAATCGGTTGAAGCACGTGTGTGCCCTGAATGGGGGAGAAAAGATGGGTCAAGGTGTTTGTTTCCATGAGACAACTGGCGGGGCTCTACCTGCGATCGGTCTGAATCTGTGAATCAAAAGTGAGTGGAACCGTGCTCTAGGACCACCGCAACACGCCGCCCACTAAGGACCATAGCCTTCCAGAGATGAACAGACCACTCGATGGGGTGCATTAACTAGAAACGGGTGATTTGCATTTGGAAGCAAACCACATTACATTTGCACTGCAGCTGCAAACTGGCAACATCTTACAATTGACATAATTGGATGTGGTTGGTGAAGGAGGCAGAAATAGAATTAGTATTAAAGGACCAGGTTCCCAAGTCTGCTTGCCCAGCTCTGGTTTCTCTGTTAAACCATGTGAAACTGACATAGAGGTGCCCACGGACTCCCTGGAATTCGGAGCCCCCAGGCTCCAGCAAGGCAGGTGAGCTCCGGAGAAGGTGGCTGGCTGCAGCTGAAGGTTCATTTAGTGCCTTCCTAGAAGGGGTGGTGTATTGAAGTGGTGTTTTGAGAAGCTGACCAGCACCGAAAAGGGCACTATGACATTAAAATAAAATAATCACAAAATGAACATACTTACAAAATTAAACAAAACCCTAACCATGGGAACCATTCCCCTTTCTGTTGAATTTTATTTGGGATATGATGCTGTTTTGGTTACGAGGTCCCCAGGGCTGCTGTGTGTTGCGTATATCTTTGTTTTCAGAGTCCCAGCTCCGGCTGGTGCAGTGCTCAGGGTATGGGGGAGATGCTGTGGGATGGGAAGGTGGGAAGAGGGGAGATGGAAGGGAGATTTTGTGCACAGGGAGAATCTGGGGAGAATGCTATTGTTTTTTTCCCCAGCATCCATGCCTCTTCCTCTTGATAATGGCTCCTTCATGGTCCTTGGGAAACTAACCCCCTCTCCCCTTCCCTACCTCAAGCTCCAAGGATGGGCACGGGACAGTGGAGGGTCTGGCTGTAGGGCTTAAGGATTTAACTGGGAAGAAACATCAAAATAGAGATTAGCAGAGGTCTCAAATCTTCATCTAAGATTCAAACAGGCCTATGATGATTTCAAAAGAAAACCTTTGACCTAAATGTGCTTGTTTGAGTAAAAGTGGAAGAGAACTCGGTAAATTGAATAGGACGACAATGACAGTGGTCCTTCCCTGTGTTGACAAAGATTGAAACGAGGACCCACCTGGGGCTAGGACTAACCAAATTAAGATGGGCAGAAAGATGCCAAATGTGCTTTTGGAACTGGCTGAACTAGCCAGGGGCAGGATATGAGCGGACATCACCTTCTTGGTTTTCTTTCTCTGGTCATGTTTTTTTTTTCAAATTAAAGTACAGTCAGTTACAATGTGTCAGTTTCTGGTGTGCAGCACAATGTCCCAGTCATGCATATACATACATATATTCGTCCTCATATTCTTTTTCTTTAAAGGTTATTACAAGATATTGAATATAGTTCCCTGTGCTATACAGAAGAACTTATTTTTTTAAATCTATTTTAATATATAGTGTCCCCTGATCATTTAAACTGGCACTCACGAGTGGAAATAATACAGGGAAAAAAACCAAAAGCCCCTATTTACGAAATAATTGGTATCAGATTAATTCGGTAAAAGATAAGTTCTGGAAAAACAGAAAGCAAGAACAAACGGCACCTTTTCAAGACCTAGTCTGAACCCCCAGAGTTTCCTCAAGAGTTGTTCTATGGCGTTAATCTGCAGCCTTGCTTAACTACTTCAGAAGGTCTAGATGGTAATCTAGAATGAATGAACACAATCAAATCACAATCCTTTTCCTATGCATTTCCTAGGAAGGCACAGGATTCTGCAATTCTATGCGCTCGCTGCCCTCCACGTGTAGTCCTGACGGCACAGAGGACCTGCTTACCCCCTTCCCTGGGCACTGGACCCAGTGCTCTCAGGTTGGGGGCGGGGGTGATGGAGAGAGCATGTAACCCTGGTTTGGAAAAGCCCTACTCTGATCCCAGCCTAGCCACTTGCTTGCTTTATAACTTGGGAAAGTCAGTTCGTCTTCCTGAGCCTCTGTTTTCCCACTTGTAAAATGGGGTAATAATATATACCTTGGGCATTCAGAGGGCTACTGTCAGGACAGAACACACATAAACGCCTTTTGTGAACCGTGAGTCATCATTTAAACATCGGATGCTCTTAATAATAATGCATCCCCAACTGCAGTCATGACTTTGGAAACTGGGTCACACTTGTGGGGACGTAATTAATGCCCTCAGGCCTTTTCCATGTGAACGGCTAGCAAATGGATCCCCCTCCTCTCGCATTTGTGCGGCTGATATGTTGGAGCTCCACGTGGATCGGTCCAGGCGAGCCAGGTCAGACCGCGCCCTGTTGGAGTTGTCCTAGGGTTCCAGCAGTTGGAGATCATCCTGGATTTGGATCGGGCCAACCGCGGTATTATTTGTGGTACTTCTAAATCGGCGTCCTCTGGACAGTGGCGCTCCCTGTCTCCTCCAGGGAGTTTCCCCAGTTAACCGATTAAAATGCGAGCCAAGACAGTGCCAAGGCCAGCCGCGCTCCCCTGCAGTGGAGACCACTTTGAGGTCGGGAGCAAGTAACAAAAACAGGCAGCCATCAGCCATCACTGCTGTCTGCGGCTGGTTGTGCAGCTAGTGGCGAGACCAGTGATTTTTTCCCTCCACATATGCCCAGCAAACTTTTATTGGTGCACCCCGACACACTGTGAAATACTAAAAACTTAAAAAAAAAAGTAGTAAGTTTAACTGACGACTAGAACG